GTAACGCCCTGCCCGGGGCATGGAAGCCACGAGAAGGGATCAGGAGGTGGCATAGTGGTCACAGTACTGGGCTTCCACATGGCCGATCGTAGTCGGAGTCCCAGACTTGCTGGTTTGCTTTCTCACTTTCTCTCTCTCGCTCTCTCTCTCTGGTTAGCATGCATGCCCTATAGCAAATTTAAAAATAACAACAACAAAAATAATAATTATTATTTTTTGTAAAAAAGAAGCCACCAGGATCCAGGCGCCAGCAACAGACAGAAGGGGTCACACGAGACTCAGAATAAATAAGAGGAAAATTGAGGGTCAGAAAGGCCTTGAGTTTCTCCACCTCCAAGTACACCCTGAGCACCCCCTGGGTAACACAGCAAGTATGGGGGGTTGGGCACAGCAAGAGGGAGGACAAACAGTAGTGGAAACACACTCATTGGAATTTTAGACTTGGGGCCAGACCGTGGGACAATGGTAAAATGCAATGCTCTGCATGGAAGGCCATATGGAGAGGCTGCTGGCTTGAACCTGGAGACCTCGCTAGGTTTGCTGGGCATGTGTGTCCATGATCAGCACAGGCCGAGGCTGTAGGAGTTTGGACTGTGGCATCAAGACTGTGTTGGGGGGACCGGCAGTTAGCGTAATGGCTATGTCGCTGGACTCCCACGTAGTCGACTGCGGTTCGTGTCCCGGACCCGGTGGCTTAAAACTCACGCCGGGCACGTGTGTGTGCATGCCCAAGATCCCGAGAGGAGAATGGAGGAGAAGGGATTGCAGCGTGGCCATCCCTCTGGGGGGTGATTTCTCGCTTTCTGTCTCTCTCTCTGTCTGGCGAGCACACACGCCCTATGGCAAAAACCTCTCCAAAGGAAAAAAATAAATAAAAAGACTGTGTTGGGGGGACTGTCTCTCACCCATGGAATAAGAAATTCTTTAAAAAATAATTTAGGTGGGCCAGCTGGTGGTGTGGTTAAGTAGGCTGCATCTGACTACAAGATTAAAAACCAGCAGTTCAAAATCCACTCCAGGCACGTGAGCATGCATGCCCACATTCCTGAAAGGAAGGAAAGAGAATGGACTGCAGTGTGAGCAGCTCCCATGGCAGGTGCTTTCTCACTTTCCCTCTGTCTTCTCCAAAGAACACACACATTGTGTGGTCTCTTCCATGAGGAGAACGGAAGAGGAAGAGAAGCGATTGTGGTATGGTCATCCCCCTGGGGGGTCATTTCTTGCTTTCTGTCTCTGTCTCTCGCTGTCGTTTTCATGCGCCCTATAGCAAAAATCACACTAAAGCAAGAAAGCAAGCCTGCTGATCCCAAATAAAACAATCCTTAAAAAAAAAAATAAATGATTTGAAACCATACTGCTTCTGTTGTTATAGAATCATAAAATTATACAAAATTATAAGACATATTTTGAACATTATCTTTAAAATTCAGTATTTTGAAATTTTGAAAGTTGTAAACTGTCAAGAATTATGGATTATGAGCTAAATTTTTTTGCTATGTAAAGTAAATGTTTGTGGAAAAATGTAAAAATAAATAAAAGAAAAAATAAATATAAATAAATAAATAAATAAATAAAGGCGAAAATGTCGACACGTTACCCCAAAATGGAACTCCTAGAATTTCTAGGCAGAAGTAAATTAAATGCTGTCCAAGGGTCATAAATTAGGAGCCATAATAAATCTCTAGTCATGTAAATACTCCAAAAAAGGAATAAAATGTCCAGCTGTGCTTGTAAAACAGTGGTGAAATAACCTCTGCTGTGAAAATAGATGAAATACCAAAGGATCAACATCTTTTTTTTTTTAAGTATTTCCTAAAATTTATTTTATTTATTTATTTATTTATTTTTGGGGGGAGAGGTTTTGCTATAGGGCACGTGCGCTCGCCAGAAAGAGA